TCTTTCCTCCAATGATGGTGGTTGGCTCCTTTGTCAAAGATGAGGTGGCTGAGCATGTCTGGAGTTGTTTCTGGATCTTCTAATCTATTCCACTGATCCTCAGGTCTGTTCTTTTGCCAGTACCATGCTGATTTTATCACAGTAGCTTTGTAGTATAGTTTCAGGTTGGGGATTGTGATACCTTCAAGGGCCGGGAATTTAGCACAGTGGAACCGCACCTGCCTGGCAAGCACAAGGTCCTAAGTTTGATCCCCGGTACCGGAAAAACCAAACCAAACAAAACAAGTAGGAAGAAGGGATGGGAGTGTAAAGGCAGGGAACAGGGAACGTGAATGACCGAAATATACACATTGAACCCCCAAAAGGTGCAACTGTTTGGGGGGCGGCAGGAGGGCGATGGAGGCAGGAAATGAGCAAAGCACGCGGTGTGCAGGCACGAATCTGCCAGAGCAACACCCACTCAACCCCTTTGACCGACTTTTAAAAAGTGAAGAAAAATGAGAGAGAATCAGGGTGTGCGGCATTTCCTCCAGTGTGTGTGTTTCTGTCACTGTTGCAGGGGAGCCCCGATATCTCCCTAGGGAAAGCATAGATTTCTGAGCAGCCACCCCCCCATTCCCTCTGACACAGGCCCTTCAGGGCAGAGTCCTGAGGGTGGAGAGAGAAAGAGCAGCCTTACCCAAAGGGGCATGGGGAAAGGAGAGGAAATGAGGGTCCGCCTCCCAAAGGGAGGTACACCTGCCAATGTCTGTCTTGCTGGTTCTGGAGATCCAGCCCTGGGTTGGCCACCACGTGCTAAGCATAAATAGAAAAGCGTTGATTTGTTAAATGACTTGGGTTTTTTTTGGTATTGGGAATCGAACTCGGAACCTTGTGCTTGCAAAGCAGGCGGAACCACTGAGTTAAATCCCCGGCCCTGTTAAATTACTTTTTAAAAATAACCATTATCCAATTGTGTGTGTGCTATAATCATGGTTATTAGGGCAGGACTGATACATGATCAGTAAATCAGATTGTACCTAAAACTACTTCCTAAGGGATGTTAACTATGTATAATTTCTTTTATTTTTATGAACACAACCCTCCTGCCTCAGGCTCCCAGAATGCCGAGATTAAGACTTACTCCGGGGATACCTGGCTAAATACCCAGCTTCTAGAGAGTGACCTGGGAAGCCTGAGAGGCTGTGAGCGTGGGCAGGGCCTAGGCTCCCTGCATGGCCCGTTAATGCCACCACCATTGACTCTCAGCCGCCCTGTGTCAGGTTTATCTCTGTCTAATTCTCCGGGTTTGCCTTTGGAGCATTCTATAGTATGAATTGTATGCTAATAGGAAACATTTTAAAGGATCAGAGCCAAAAGTTGAATAGCCATCTCCATTATCCTTTTATGAGTTCATGCTATTTTTTTTTTTGAGACAAGGTCTCACTCTATAGTCCAGGCTGGCCTTGAACCCTCTGCGATTCTCCTGCCTCAGCCTCCCAAGTGCTAGGATTACACATGTGCACCACCATGCACGCCCTGAGTTCATGCTTCCTTTGTGTCCTCTTGTCCCCAGGATGAAGGCTCTGGGATGAAAAGTAAAGTTCGACACATCGCGGAGGAGATCACGAGCTCCGAGAAAGTGTGAGTCTCCGCCCTATAGCTCCCAAGCCCATTTCTCCCCGCCCCGCCAGATCCTCTCAAACATTTTTCTTGTTGCTGTTTCCTACAGGTTTGTGGATGTGTTAAAACTGTTGCATATTGTAAGTATGCGCTGATACTTTCTTCACACCTAAGACTCCTTTTTTGTACACTTTCTTTTCCAAGAGGTTTCAGCATAACTGACTTAATTACTTGCATATGTTTTCTGATACTTTGTTATATTTTTTAATTCGTACATATAGGTAAATAGACATTTTCTAAAAATCTATCTTGTGTGTATCAGTACATCCTAATGGTCTCTGAAAAGTAAGACTATATCTTCAATGTCTCCAATCTTTCTACCTTCATAAGAGTTTCTTTTTTTTCCTTTTTATTTCTTTTGTTTGTCGGCCGGTCAGTTTTTAACACTGGGGACCAAAACCAGGACCTTGAGCCTGGTAAGCACACACTCTTCCCCTGAGCTCCTCCCCCAGGCCTCTCAATGAAGAATTTAAAATTCCCGCGTCCTTGGGCCCTGGCGGAAGGCGTCTGCTGCCTGTAGACTCTTGCACTGGCCACATGGAAAGCAGGGCAGCATTGTTGTTCACACTGCTTTCTTCTTCTGTGAGTGGCTCCCAGAAGCAGACACTGCCAACAGATGTTTTGACAGCCAGCCTCTTAAAGTCCCATTTTTGCTCTCTGCACAGACCTCTTGGGAAGCGGTTCCTGAGGCTGCCCACAGCTCGAGGTTCCCATGCACGCCCCTTGTCCGGCAGGTCTCTGCACGTCCCGGGGCGCCTCGGTATTGGAGGCCTGGGTGCTGCTTTGTTCTAGCTCCCTCTCAGGAGGATACTAGGACTAACTACAGGAAACGGGAAAACTTGGGGAACAGTAAAAAGGGATTGAAGTAAAATTTTCCTTGTATGGTATAATTATAAATGTCATAAATTAAACTTCACTGCTGAGAAACAAGTTTCACAAGATAATAGCCATTTTGTGTCTGCAGAAGAGAATGATTATTTTCTTCCTTCCTGTTAATAAATACCTATGAACATACAAAGCTGGTTACACTTAGAGGTGATTCACATTTTCCAGATGATTCCCTGGTACTTTTTACTGGGTCTACCAGGAGGAACGAGGCTTATTTCCTGGGAGAAAAATCCCTGGCTTTGGAAATATATTTTTAAAAATTCTTCCACGTTGCTAACTAGTTTTAAGAAAATATTTCCCTATGAATACTAACTCTTCATTCTACTGGTAAGTTCTTTCTTATAATTCTTTTTTTTTCAATACTGGGGTTCGAACTCAGGACCTTGTGCTTGCAAGGCAGGCACGGTGCCACTGAGCTAAATCCCTAGGCCCTTCTTTCTTACAATTCTTTATTAAATGCTTAACATCATGTTTTGCCACCTAGACAGATTTGTTAAGCTTTGGATATCCTTGTTGTATATTGTCATTTTGAACAAATAAATGACTTTTCAGTATAAAGTTCTGTACATTTGCTGTTGTCCCCCGAACAGCCCCCCTGTATTTAGACATCTGATAGAATTAAGTAAAATCATACAAGGCGGGGTTGTGTGAATCTTACTTGCTTAATATTCCGAATGGGTCTAATGTGAATGTAAACAGCTGTAACCCTAATTTTAAATTGTTAATGTGTGCGTTTGCGGTACATGATGGTCACCGTCCTCATGGGGAGTTGGTGCATGTCCATAACACATCTGCATTCTTTTTCCTTCCCTCCTCTCCCCAACCCCTCCTTCCATCTCCTGGTCCCTCTCTGTCTGTCTCTTTCCTATTGTCAAGTATATTAAATAGTATGGATTTTTGTGTGTTTTTGTTCTTTATCTTGTCTGAGGATTGAATGCAGAGCTTTGAACATGCTAGGCAAGTCCCATTGAGCTACATCCCTGGCCCTAACTAGTGCGAAGTTCTAAAAAAATATTTGGAAAGGGAACGATCAGAACCCTTGGGGGTTTTTAGACAAAAATGGGCTGGTTGAATAGTACTAGCAGTGGAGCTATACCACTTCCCATAGGTGGAGACATACGTTCTCTTGAAACTTTGAGAGACACAGTCAGATCCATAAAACTAGAAGCAAATCATCCAGAAGTCTGTTACTAGGTAGAATATATCTTTTCTATTGGAAGAACATTGCGTGTAAGATGAGCAAAAGGCTTCCTTAGTTCTCAGGTGTTCCCATCTCTGAATCTCCTCCTGTTCTGCTGAATGCTCCCTGTCCACTGGGCTGCAGGGCCCGCTGATGACCACTCACCCTGATTGGGTGGGGCAGAGCACTCTTCTAGCTGCTTTGCTGTCAGCAGCTTCCTCTGTGAGTGCTGAATGAAGCGCAGCACTGAGCACCAGGCTTGCAGCCTAGGGGTTTCCTGCCTTGCTTTGGTCTTTTCTTCTCATCTTATGCCTCTGCTTCCTAGCTTTGCCCCCAAGCTTCCAAGAAATTGGGGATCTTTGTTGTTGTTTTGAGACAGGGTCTCACTGTGTGGTTTGGGCGGCCCTTGCACTCACTGTGTAGCCCAGGCTGGCTTCAAGCTCAACTCACAGTGATTCTCCTGCCTCAGCCTCCTGAGTGCTGGGATTACCGACATGCACCACCTTGCTGGTGGAATTGTGGGTCTTAAATGATGTTCATTTTTATTTAAATTATCAAATCTCTTAATTAAACAAATGACCTTTCTATTGAGTGCTTCATTCCTTGTAGCGTATTGTGTATTGTTATGCAACTCATCTCCTTTACTCCTCATACAAACCCTATCAGAGAGATGCTATTTCTGTTCAATAAAAAAAGCTAGCTGTCAAAAATAACCCAGTACTAAATGCCAAAGGCAGTCTTGTTTTTAGTTTTAAAAATTTTACTTTATTATATTTTTTTCCCATCTTTATTAGTGTATGTTTGAGATACATAATAAATATATTTGTCTTGGGGTAAAGCCAGTCTTTGAAATCTGGTCTGTCAAAGCCTTTGCACTTAGTGATTATATATATAATTTTTTTTAAAATTTTTTTTATTTTTATTTTTATATTTTGGTAGTACTGGGAATTGAACCTGGGCCTTCACACTGAGCTATAACCCCACACCACCCCCTTTTTATGTTGAGACAGGGTCCCACTAAGCCACTTGGTTCCCAAGGCTGGGCTTGAGCTTGTGATCCTCCTGTCTCAGCCTCCCAGCATGGAGGGGTTGTGGGCATGTGCTACCACACCTGGCTAAAAACTGTTGCTTCAAACCTTGGCCTTGCTTGATGGGAAATGCTGAGTCCTTGGGTATACGGTGTTAGCTTGCTTTCAGAGTTCTAGTTCTCTCAGTTGCCCAGGAAGTCAGGTAAAGTCTAGTTTTTCTTCTCTTAAAGATGAGGGGGTGGGAGAGGTAAGGAGGGGATGAAAAAAGAATGAAGATGTGTTCTGTACAAGGACCAACTCCCCATGGTGTGTACCATCGTTAGTCCTGCAGATGTGGACTAATCTGCACTGTGTAAGAAGGAGATGAAGCCAGCGCTGGGTGCCCAGATGTGTTATGGTGATTGCTTGTCAGGCGGATTGGGAATGAGATAAAGGATTCGTTTCAGTTGTGTTTTACAATTTGGCCCTGATGATTCTGTACCATACAACCTGTACATACAGGAACAGAGGGGTAATTTCATTGGGAAAATATTTTTTTTTTAGAGAGTGAAGTCCAGTTGTTGAGGTGGGGCCTTTCCCTTCTACTCTGACTTTGTCCTTTCTCACTCCTTTCTGCATGTTAATCACAGCTCTGACCTCAGCAGCTGCCTTGCTTTGTGTAATGGGAAGGGATTCTCACGGAGCCCGTCTGTCCATGTGCGCATGGGGACCTGTAATTCACTGTGCCATGATAGCGGCTCTGTGCTACCCGAGGTCAGGAGTCCCACTGGAGACAGCTGGTCACAAAGTCGCATTCTCCTCCATGCTTCTGAATCACAGGGCCCCACCGGTGAGCAAGGCTGTCTGCCTTGTGCTTCGTTGCTTCAAACGTCCATACTTGATTGTGTTCGCATTGCTTTTTGCTTAGGTGGTCCCCAGTGGTCAGAGCTGGTAAGGCTTTAAGGTTCTTCTTATTTATAGGTTGAGGGGTGGGGGGGTAGTACAAACAATGAGCCAGGTGTGGTGGCGCAGGCCTGTAATCCCAGTACTGGGGAGGCTGAGGCAGGGGAATCACTGTGATTTCGAGACCAGGCTGCGCCACATAGCAAGATCTTGTCTCAAAAAAAAAAAAAAAAAGTTATGATGTGCCTTATCATTTGGAGGCCCATTTCTATCTCTAAAAATTCCAGCTTGAACAAACATCTGGTTCCTGTGACCAGAAACCAGAACTGCAGACCGTGGTAGGGTTCGTGTTTGAAGGCTGGAGTATCTCCAGTCCAGACTGGTAGCCTCTGCGGCGGCCCCAGCTCCGCACTCCCTTTCCCTCCATCGTGGATGTTATTGCCCTGCTCCTCTAGAGTGAAAAACAGCCCTGGGTCTGATCTGGAGGTGCTGGTCTGCTGTCTGTCACCCGCACCGACTCAGTCAAGGAAGCGCTAGTGAATTCAGAGTCTTCTGCCCCAAAATAGCTCTGTCTCTGGCTCTGAAGTGTCGTCACACCCTCCCAAGTTATCCTGGCTCTTAATATTTAGAAAAATCATCAAACATATGTGGTAGTCATCCCTCGTGTAAGAAAATAACAGATATTAGCCAGGCCTGATGGTGCATGCCTGTAATCCCTGCACTCTGGGAGGCTGAGGCAGGAGGATCACAACTTCCAGCTCAGCCTGGGCAATTTAGCAACTTAGTGAGTCGTTATCTGAAAATGAAAAAAGTAAAAAGGTAGGGCCCTATCCCCAGCACCGCCCCCCAAGTTACCTCTTTGCAGCTGTACCCGTTGTTAGCACTGCTGAGCTTCCTGAAGAGTTGAGAGGTTTCAGACACTGTGTGGGATTAGCTGCGCCACCCTGGGGCCTGCACTGCTGTCCCAGATGGTGGCTCGAGAGTGAGGGAGCAGGATGGGGCCACTGCCACCTGGGCAGTTACGGGGATGGAGACTGAGGCGGAGCCCTTGGTGTGCGCTGGGTCGGCCTGGGCAGGGCAGCCTTTCCCCCGTGCTGGGGCTTGAACCCAGGAGCTCCACCGCTGAGCTGCACCTGCCACTGCTGCCCTGGTCCATTTTCAGAAAACGAGGAGAAAACCAGTAGTTGCCATGGGAGAGACGAGCATCCAGTGACACTCGTGAAAGCTTGGCAGGCCGGTGTCAGTGTGAGCACCATTGCCAGAGGCTCGGGCTGCAAGCCACCCTGCTGCGGCGGGGGTCGGGCTGGTTCCCCACAAGGCCAGGGCAGATTGGGAATTGGTGGCTGATGCCCAGAGAAGCAGCGGCAGTAGACTCCGGCCCAGGGCAGGGATGTAGCTCAGTGGCAACATGGCTGCCTGGCAAGCGCAAGGGCCTGAGTTCGATCCCTGGTACTGGAAAGACAGATTCTGGTCCAGCCGAGGAGGCCTCCGAGCAGGGCTCTTGCTGCAGACAGGTCCTGCTGCGGCCTGGTCAGGGCAGCTGGTGTCACCCGGCATCACTGTGATGGTGGGGTGGGTAGCAGGCGCAGACGGCGGGCTGGAGCTTCACACCTCTTTTACAAGGAAGCACTTGGCGGACCTCCAAAAGGCCCAGAACCCCACTAGTTAGTTCAGGCAGAGACTGTCCGGCATCTGTCAGAACACCTAACCTTCTGGGCCTCATGAATAAATCCTCTCTAAATTACCAGTTTTTAAGAGAGGAGGGGGGAAGAAAAGAAGGAAGGGACGAGAAAAAAGTGAAAATAGAAGGAAAAAATGGAAACAAGGCATTTGTGCATAGGGAGGAGAGGGGGTTAAGGGGGGAAAGGGGTAAAATTTATTTTATCTGACATGCCACTCATAATTTATAAAAAGAAAGACGTGGGGCATAACTCTCCGAGAGCTGCCTGCAGATGAGCAGGGCTGGGAAGTGACTGCACCTGTGACACGTGTCTAAGGCCTCTGCTCTGGCGGCAGCTGGGTGGCCAGCGCCTAGGGTCTGACTGGATTCTTTAATGTGCCTAAGTAAACAGGTTGCCTTTGTGGCCAGCAGCTGAGCCACACTGGGTCCACACTGGGTCGGTCCCGAAGAGCTGTCATTGCCATAGCCCAGAAAATTCCTTCCAACCGGAAAACCAACCTTCTCCTCTCCTGTGCTGCTGGAGGACAGGGAAGGCCGGGCTCTTGCTGAGCAAGGAGCTCTTGTGTCTCAGGGGCGTGCAAAGTGCCACAGAAGATGTTTAACTGTCCTATGGTGAATACCCTTGCAGTCTGGGGAGTTCCTTGCGAATGTGTCCTGTACTCTGGCTCAAGGCCTTCTAAGGGTTCTCAATTGTGTTAATAAGCAGCTTTGTTCTGCCTTGGTAAATGTGGGTGGGGAGGGCAGCAAGCTGTTGGGAATGGAGCTGCCAGTAGCCACTGGGTTTCTGGAGATGTGTAGTGTGGTTTTCTGGATTGCAGGTGATGCTGTTTATACATTCTTGGTATATATTATACTACTTAGTTATAGAAGTTCGCTCTTTAGTTCCTGGCCTAAGTAGTTGGTTCCTTTGGGCCAGTGTGACTGTTGGACCAGTAAAGATGATTCTGAGTCCTAAGTGAGGGTCTTCAGCATTAGTTGAGAGGGTTTGACTTGCCTAAAATGCCTTTGAAATAGCTTTAACAGAGCCCCTTTGTAAGCTGGGCCTGCCAGCACTTGGGAGGCTGAGGCAAGAGGGTTGGTTACCTTTGCATTCGAGGCCAGCCTGGCTTACATGCCGAGGAGGCAGCCAGCCTGAACCACACAGTGAGATCTGTCTCAAAAAAGAGAAAGAAATGAAAGAGAAATAGCTATACTTTAGAAAAAATGCTTTCTTATAATTTTAAACTATACCTGAAGGCCTAAAGAATTGTATAAGGGACACTGGGGTGAGGAACATGTGTTTGGCTGAGTCCCTGCAGGGAAAGCAGCTGGAGACAAGGCCTAGTGAGAGTCATTCCTCCCAACCTTTGCTTTCCGGTTTTAAGTAAAACTGCTTTTTCTCAGGAACAGGTCTTTGTTTTTGGCTCTCCGGGCAGCTGAACAGATTCCACTATTGTTCTGCTGCCTCTCGAAGCCCAGCCCCAGGCCCAGGGAGAGGCAGGCAGGCACTTATCTGCTACCTGCCTTCCCAGGTCCTCTGGGAGCTGGGTGTGGTGCTGCTAACCTACATTAAACCAGGGCTCCAGGGTCCTGCAGAAACCTGCCTCTCAGGAAAGTGTGAAGAGACGGTTTCATTTGTGGGCAGGATAAATCCTAGTGAGCTGACTGGGGCTAGGGAGAGAGGGAGAATATAAGATCCAAAGTAAACACTGTGTTGCCTCTGTGTGCCGCCTGCATTGCAGACTTCTGTGCAGAACCTAATTAAAGTTGTATACCTGCCACCCACGGAACGAAGGGAGTGGCCCAAGGAAACACAGAAAGTCTGGAGCAAGGGCCTAATACCAGGACTGATGAGCAAGCCCGTGCCTCCCTGGCAACCCTTACCTCGAGTGCACCAGTCGTTGGGGAAGTGATTATTGAAAGTGGACAGAGGGACTCTCGTGTGTGTTTGTTTGCTTTTTGAGACAGGGTCTCGCTGTGTAGCCCAAGCTGGGGTCAGGCTCACAGCGATTCTCCTGCCTCAGCCTCCCAAGTCTTGGGGTTCCAAGCATGTATCACCACACCTGGGTTACAAAGGGACTCTTAAACCTTGAATAAAATGACTCAGAATCTTCTGGGGACTTTTAAAATAAACGAATTGTGTTGATAGGATGTTACTAAAGTAACTTCAAAGTTTACAGTTAGAATACAATTTCCAGACACCTTCTTTGTTTTAATTGCTAAGTTTAAGGATCAAACTAAAGTGTTTAAGAACAATATAATAGTCTTTTTTAAAATCAAATATCTGCCAGGTATGACGCACGCCTGTAGTCCCAGCACTTGGGAGGCTGAGGCAGAAGGATTGCTGTGAGTTCAAGGTCAGCCTGAATGACACAGTGAGACCCTGTCTCAAAAACACCAAATCAAATATTCACCCTAGGTACTGTTAAGTATTTTCAAAATTTCCTATCCAGGTGAGTGGGGTGGGAGGAGTGGGTACTCTAGATCTGTAATTCTATACAGGCCACAGTCCTGCAGCGTGTGTCCCTGCAGGAAGGGAAGTGGGAAGAGCTCTTCCGAGTCACATGTGTGTGCAGTTTTCCTCTTCTGCCCTCCCGCAGGACTTCCGCGATGCCGTGGCCCATGCTTCCAGGCAGCTGGGGAAGCCCGTGATCGAAGAGCGGATCCTGAATCAGATCTTGTACTACCTGCCTCAGCTCTATGAGCTCAACCGAGATCTCCTGAGCGAGCTGGAGGAGAGAATGTCGAACTGGTAAAGAACGGGATGAGTTTCAGGATTTCCCAGAGTTTTCCATTTTAGATGAGACCTTGAGGAGTCCACTTGTGGGAGGAGTTCTCTTGGTGCTTGCGTGTAGGTTGGTGTGTGTGTGTGTGTGTGTGTCTGTGTGTGTGTGTGTGTGTGTCTGTGTGTGTTGTTGGGGAGTGAACCCAGGGCCTTGAGCATGCAAGGCAGGTGCTCTACCACTGGGCTGCATTCCCAGCCCTAGATTGCTCACTTTGGTAATTTATTATTATTTGTATTTTGAGACAGGCCCTCACACTGTATTTCAGGCTGGCCTTGAACTCACTGTATAGTGCAGGCTGGCCTCAAACTCATGATGTCCCTCCTTCCTCAGCCTCTCGAGTACTGGGATTACAGTTGTGCACCTCCATGCCCGGCCTGATGTTCAATCTTTAGACTCTGACTGTGCTGAAGAATGGGATAGAGGGGCAAGAAGAGACGCAGAGAGGCCGAGTCCTAGCGCAGGCAGAGCCCGGCCACACTGTGACCCGTGCTGGGGAGGGGATGGTGACAGAGGGCTGCGGCTGTGCCCTGTGGGAAGAGAAAAGCGAGGTAAACTAGCTGCTTAGCCGGCACTGCTCAATGCTGGGTGTCTTCTGGACCCACTAACGACTCTCCTTTTATGTTTGTGCGTCTCCTCTCTTCTAGGACCGAGCAACTGAGGATTGCTGATATCTTTGTCAAGAAGGGCCCGTACCTGAAAATGTACTCCACGTACATCAGAGAATTTGATAAGAACATAGCCCTGCTGGACGAACAGTGCAGGAGGAACTCGGGCTTTGCTGCTGTGGTCAGAGAGTTCGAGGTATTCACAGCCGGCTGATGGGGAACTGCTCTTCCCTCTCTTAACTTTAACACAGTTTGCACTCATTGTAAACAAAGCTTGCAAACAAGTGCATTTGGAGGCGAAGGCCAGTGATCCCAGCTACTTGGGAGGCTGAGGCAGGCGGATTTCGAGCTTGAGGCCCACCTGAGCAACTTGGTCCTGTTTCAAAATAAAAATTTTAGAAGGACTGAGGATGCACCTTAGCACTGCTTGGGCTCCCAGGGTAGGGATGGGGGATCCTTTCCCAGTTAGAGAAGAATTGGACCTCATCGAGTGGTAAGAACTCAAAATAGTACACAGATTTACTTCCTATTAAGGTGTTGCCACACATTGGATGGTTTTAAATTAAAAAAAAAATTTGGATGGGACTTTTGTGGTGAAAATCACATAATAACAGGTTACAGTTTGGCCTTTTTTGTTTGTTTGTTTTGTGAGGCGGGGTCTTGCTGTGTAGACCAGGCTGGCCTTGAACTCACAGAGATCCTCCTGCCTCAGCCTCCCAAGTGCTGGGATTACAGGTGTGCACTCCCACACCTAGCTGTATGTTAGACTTTTTTTTTTTTTTTTTGTACCAGGGATTGAACTCAGGTCCTTGCGCTTGCACAGCAGGCGGCGAAACTACTGAGCTAAGTCCCCTGCTTGTTAGCCAGTTTTAAATGTACAGTCCAGTAGTATTACATACATTGGTACTGCCATGCTAATTCACCTGCAGACCACGTTTCCTCTGGGGACACTGAGATTGTGACCATTAAACCTTCATCCTGTCTCCCCAGCTTCCCCAACACTGTTGCTTCCTGTGCTGGTGAATCTGATCACCAGAGGGGGCATTTCTTATTTGTATCCTAACCTTTTCTTCCTTCTGTTCATCTACCATTAACCTGCGAAGATGGAAGGGAACTGGAAAGAATGTTTTGCTATAGATAAGTAGATAACATACTTTGGGTGTCAAAGTTAAGCTAAATGAATCACCTGTTTATTGCGTGTGTCAGCGAAAGCCCTGTGTTTGGACAGTGAGGGGGGCACAAGCTTGATGTGGGGGAAAGGATATAATACGCTTCTTAGAAATGAGTTTGGGCTGAGCGTGGTACCGAACTCACGGCAATCCTCCTGCCTCAACCTCCCACGGGTTTTTATTTTATCAAAAAAGGCCGTGTGATGTCGTTATGGCAGCTGATGATGGACTGAGGATTTGGTTGATGTCCAGTAAGTTGTAGTGTTTCTTTGGCAACCAGAGAAAAGCCAGAAGACAGGAAGAGTTCGCACTCTTCGGAAAGGTGCTTACATGAAATCCACATGCTTCCTTCCTTCTCTTCTTCCTCTTCCTCCTCCTCCTTCTTCCTCTCTCTCTCCCTGTCTCCCTCTCTCTCCCTCTCTCTCCCCTCTCTCCCTCTCTCCCTCTCTCTCCCTCTCTCTCCCCTCTCTCCCTCTCTCCCTCTCTCTCCCTCTCTCTCCCCCTCTCTCCCCCTCTCTCTCTCCCTCCCTGTCTCCCTCCCTTTGCACCACGCCCCACTCAACAAAAATTTTAAAAGAGCTGGGGATGTAGTTTAGTCAGTGGTACCACACTTGCCTAGCATGCAGGAGACCCTGGGTTTAATCCCCAGTACTGCAAAAGGAAAGGAAGAAGCAGGGCGTGGTGGCACACGCCTATAATCCCAGCAGTCTCCTGAGGCAGGAGGATTGCTGCAAGTTCAAGGACAGCCTGGGCTACATAGTGAGTTCAAGGCCAGCTTGGACTACAAAGTTAGACCCTGTCAAAAAAATAGAAGAAAAGAAAAGAAAGAAATGTGAGTAAAGCTGCAAACACTCCTGCCACCCCTGGGCACCTGTGCTGTGTGAGAGGCATGAGCAGTGTTTCCAGGGCCATCTTCACCTGGCCATTGTGCTGCCCTCACCGTGAGCGCCAAGTGGAGAGCAGACGGGAGTGGACGGAGGTGTCTGCAGACTGAGTAGAGAGCTTGTGGGCAGGAACAAGGGGCCTTCATGGTCAAATCGGGATGTGGTTCCAACCCTGTAGAGGGTGAGAGGGCGCACGCCTGTGAGCCCAGCACTGGGGAGGCTGAGGCAGGAGGATCGCCTGGAGCTTGAGGCCAGCCTGAACTACATAGCGGGACCCTGTCTCCAGCAAAACAAAACAAAAGATTAAAAATAAAAGTGTAGGGGGGCCCAGGGATTTAGCTCAGTGGTTCCGCTGCCTGCCTCAAAAGCTCAAGGACCCAAGTTCAATCCCCGGTACCAAAAAATAAATTAATAAATAAAAATTTAAAAAGTCACCGTGTTTACAGCGGTGCCTCTTCCTTTCAGATGAGCCCTCGCTGCGCCAGCCTGGCCGTCAAGCACTACCTGCTCAAGCCGGTGCAGAGGATCCCGCAGTACCAGCTGCTGCTGACAGGTGGGCCTCTCCTCGAGTCCCCCTCCCGGACCTCTGTCCTCAGGCACTGTGCAGGGGTGTTTGCAGCCTGGCGGCTTTCCGGTCGGTCGCTGATGGTCTCTGAGCATGCGCACCCCGGGCTTTCCTGCCTGTCTTCCCTGTCGCTCAGTGTGGCGGTCGCCATCCCAGCCCCACATGCTGGTCATTCTTCATTCATATTATTCATCCCGGGAAGGCACTTTCCCAACTACCTGAGAATGAGCTTTGGCAGGTGGGCATGGTGGCAAACACCTGCAGTCCCAGCACTTGGCAGGCTGAGGCAGGAGGGTTCCCGAGCGTTAGGAGCCAGCCTGAACTACATAGTGAGACTCTGTCTTAAACAAAACAAGACAAAAAGCTCAATCAGCCTTAGAGGGGCACTTCCGGGCGCACACAGTGGCACACATCTTAGTTCCATTGCTTGAGAGTCTGACGCAAGAACATAGCTTGAGCCCCCAAGTGTGAGAGGAGCCCGGCCAACACAGTGAGATAGGTCTCAAAACAAACCAAAAGGAATCACCTGCTTAGCGGCCGCTCCTCCTGTCCACAGTCTGCAGTCAGCAGGGCGGGGGCCTGCCCGCGCATGGGCAATGTTCACTTACGCAGTTGGTCACTGAGCTCCACGCTCAGTGTGGCTGCTGTCGGTAGCTGTACCCTCATTTCGGTTTCTTGGTTACTGTATCTTTTGGGAAGTTACAGAGCTGTCTATCTAGTTTACCACTGTAATAATTGAAAGAGCCCGTAATTCCAGGAGGCTGAGGCAAGAGGGATTGCAGGTTCTGGGCCAGCCTGGGCAACTTTACCAGACCCGGTCTCTAGATCAGATAAAAAGGACTGGAGGTACAGCTTCGGGGTAGAGCGCTAAGCACTCATGTGAGGCCCTGGGTTCGATGCCCGGCACTGCAAAAATAAATAATAAATATGAGGAAAAGGGAAGCAAGGAAGGAGCCTGGAGGCCCAGCGAGAAGCGGGTCTCTGAAGCCTCCCCGGAGCTACGGCCGCTGGGTGCTTTCTGTGGAGGTACCGGCCTCGGGAGAGGGGCCACCTGGCTGGGCCCCAAGCGCTGCGCAGCTCTGCTGAGGGCCTGGGCGGCGGGCGCCTGCGTGTGCACCACCTCCGCGCCCGTGTCAAGTGTGCGTTCAACATGCCAGCGAGATGCAAGGGGCTGTGCAGAGCCACAGCCGATAATGTGTGCAGCTTCCTGGAGGTGAACTATGAGGAACTAATTAGGGTTAAGAAATGATTTTTATTTGGGGGGTTGAGACAGGGTCTTGCTCTGCAGTTCATGCTGGCCTTGAACTCACTGTGAAGCCCAACGTAGCCTCAGACTCATGATCCTCCTGCTTCAGCCCCCCAAGTACTGACATCACAGGTGTGCGCCACCGTGCCCCGCCCCTCCATTCTCTTGGAAGCCACCTGTGATCCTTCTGTCCTGTGACTCTTAGCTTCAATGCCATGTGACGTAGCAGATATTTATGTGGCTCCTTGTAAACTCGCTATATTTATATAATTTAAAATAATGGCTCCTTAATTGGATTATAAACTCCTTGAGGTCAGGGGGGTCCATCTGGTATCTATAAATTACTCTTCCACCCTCTCCCGTCAAAATAGCTGGATGGTGTTTAGATACTGTGAACCTATCCGGGAAATAATTTTGGTTGGTTTTATTCCAAGTTAAGCCGTTTCTTTAGCCCAACTGTCTGGCCTAAGGAACCACACTGAGATAAACTTGGGAGAAGATACAGGGTCTTAGAGATGACGTCTTCTCCAAAAGGAAGGCCGCGTGGAATGGCCAGGGACACACAGCACTCACTGTGCAGTTTCGGTCCTGTAACCTCAGGAGATGTGGGCTTGAATATTCAGGCTTTGTGTTCGATTTTTGTTTAAAGTTTGATTTTCCAGTCCTCAGTGTTACGATGTTCTGATTGCTCCCTACTTTGTATGATTATTTCTGCTGCCACCGCCAAAGTGCTCCTCCTGTCTGTGCATTTAGAGCCTTAGGAGTTGGATTGAAGTGTTAGGTTTTCATGGATTCTCATATACCAATTAAGTGGTGGGTCCTTACTTTGGATAAATACGCTCTGTCGATGAATCCTTCCAGCACCTTTGTGAGCTAAGTGCTTTTATTTCCACTTTGGAATCACAAGTGGTTCTGCTGAATACAGTGCACGGAGCAGGGAGGTGGCCTTTGAAATGTGGGGAGCCGTGGGCCTCCAGGAGGCCTGACTCAGTGCCTGTGGCTGGGAGGGTTGAGCAGTGCATAGATGGGGACTGATAAAGTCCGCTGGTTTCTTTTGGAATTCTTTTAGTGAATGCTAGGTGGAAGTTCCCAGAGGCAGCAGTTCTTGTTACAACTCAAACAGCTACTGTTTCGCAACAGTTTTTTCTGGACAAATGTAGTTTTTATAGGGTGTCCTTCTGAGGGTGTCTTCCTGGACTGTAGTAGAAACCTTTCAACTAAATTATTATTTTGTTTTTGTGATTGTTTCTTGAGACAAGGTTCTACTGTGTATGTAGTTCAGGCTGGCCTTACTCACAGTGCTGCTTAGACTGGCCTGGAAATCATGGGAGTCCTTCGGCCTCGGCTTCTTGAGTGCTGGGGTTACAGGCGTGTACCACCATGCCCAGCTCAAAGGATTTTTTGTTTTTATTTAGAAAGTTTCTTTCTCTTTCCGAAGACTTATTCCTACCCATTTCTAACTAAATTCTGGGGGAGGGGACTGGGATGTATAGTTTAGTGGTAAAGCATTTGCCTAGCATGTACAAGGCCCTGGGTTCGATTCCCAGCACCATAAAATAAATTATTTAATTAATTCACGGTAGTATTTTTGAAAGGTCAAGTCATAAGCAGACCTAAGAGAATGCATACCATTGCATGTGTAGTTAAGGAAAAATAAAGTGATTTCACAAGCTTAAAAGCTTATGAATTTTACTGTGGTAGTGGCTACTCAAGCCAGGGAGTCAGAGCCGTGTTCATGTTCTCTTCTCCTGACGATGGGCACTCCTCCTGTCCCCAGCTCGGGGCCTGGGGTGGATCTGGGCACACAGTAGGCTGCAGTCAGCTGCAGGGTGTAGGGACATGGAAAGCTGCCGCTCTGTGCTCAGATTGATAACCACAGGTAAGAGCGACGAGTTCTTCCCGCCGAGTACAGGACCGGGAGAAGGACTGAAGAAGTCCTGCTCTCTCCTGTCCCCACCTGTGAATCTGTGCTCAAGGTTGCCAGTCCCCAGCCCCCGGCAGCCGCTTCCTCAGGGTTTGTCCTCTCCGCTTGGCCCAGGGCCTGCCGTGTGATTTCCTCACATCTCTCCCAGGGACCAACTTGCACTGTGCTGATTAGCAAGTTGAAAACTTACTTATCCATGGTCTAAAAACAGAGTATAGCATACAGCCCAGAATTGCCCAAGCTTTATTTTAGTGGTACTGGAGCCTGAGCCCAGGCACCTCACACTGAGTTACACCCCCAGCCCTTTCTTATTCTAAACACATTTTGAAAGCTACTCAGTCTGGGTTTGAAGTTGGGATCCTCCTGCCTCAGCCTCTCAGAGTGTGGGATTACAGGTCTGTACCATCACACCCCACCAGTCTCTTTTTCATGGATCTTACATTCAACAAATACTAATCCAGGCCACCTGAGCTGGACATCTGGTCTCTGGCATGGTGAGACACAGGGGTGCCCTTCCCAGGGCTTTCTCTGTACTTGACGCCCACTGAGCTCGGTCTTGGCTCCTGGATGTTGCCAAGCTTTGGTTTTATGCCTGAATCTTTGGGTCACTTGGTTATTCCCCGAATCTGTCGTGTCTCCTCAAGTAGGTTGTAAACCCACCATTTAAGGCAGAGGCAGACTTAATGCAAGTAGCGGTCACAGCGGTATTTACCATGTACAGGGTACTGTGTGGTGACTTACTATTTTTGTAAGGTTCACTTTTTTCTTTGAAGAGATCTTTTATACCCATAAAAATATGTAAGTAAAAATCCCCTTCTACCCTCCAGAAATGACTATTGTAGAACCTTCAGATGTTTTTGTCTCTACCAATGTTATATATTGTATAATTTTTTCTCAGTACAAAACCTTGCATATGTGAAAAGCTATTACACTGGTACTGAAACAAGTTCAGTCGGGATCACAGTAGAGGAAATATATTAAAAATTCCTCTAAAAAACCTTTTCCACTTGGATGTTTAGGGGAAAACAGTCCTTTGAACTGTGAATCAGTGTGGATCAGGTAATTTCTTTGATCTAGTTCAAAGTATTTATGTTACAGTAAAGGCTGCTTTAACAGACTGTTACTTTCTCCTGTGGACTTTGCCTTTCACCCGGTATGGTATAAATCCCTGTAGGTTTTAGAAATCCAAGATTTCTCTCATAGATAAAAAGTAGGATATTAAAACATCTGTTACGGTGTTCTGAAGCTATAAATTCAACCCAGCAGCAAGTGAAAAATGAAGTGCTGTGGCACCGAGTGCGCATGCTTCTTTGGGGTCGCACTAAGTGAAGATCGGGCGGCAGGGCTGACACGGTCCACGACTCTGCAGTGGTGCTGAGCGTGCTGCTGGGTTACAAACACGTGTGCTCACAGGGCGAGCAGCGCAGTACTGCAGCTTTCCTGCCCACTGCCTGCCTCGCCTCGCGCAGGAGGGAAATCTCGTCGGGCACGCAGGGTGCGTGCGGACGGCGCATGCGCATGCGTATGCGTGCTCGTGCCCCGCGTAGACCCTGCGTTCTCTTGTCCGCGTGGCTACAGAGCCCTTCTCCGCGAACCCAGTGCAGCTTTGACCCGGATTCTCCTAAGCCGCCGCAAGTCTCTGTCACCAGGACTTGTCTAGGCAAAGGTGTCGCAAGCAGGATTCGTTGGCAGTGTTTCCCTCACAGGCTCACATCAGGAGCCGGACCAGCTGGAGGGCACTGCAGTTCAGCTCCACTCGGAGCTTGATTCTTCACTTGGCTGTCGGATGGCAAAACACACACCCTCTACACCTCAGTC